AGAAAAACCTTTCTTTTACATCCAAGCAATGATAGGTTTTCCCTTTAAAAACATGTTTTTCAAATTTATTTGAGAGGTGAATTTATATGCTACCTTAGATAGTTCAGTGATTTTTTTCCTCAGTCTCTGTTTACAGATTTTCTGCAAAATCTCAAAATGAGTTGAAGTCAGAATACAAAAACCAGAATAATCTGATCTGTTAGCAGTTTTGACATTTAAACTTTTATGGACAAAATTTTTAAAAGAAAAATTAAATCACTTTCATTTTCTCAGTTTTTTTGTCATTTCAATGGACTTCCACTGACATTTGTAATGTTTAAAATTGCTGAAATAAAAGATAGAAGACATTAATAATGCAAACACAGTAAAAAAAATTGAAAATATAGATCTATTTAAGATGATACAGAATCCACCAATAAACATGAAAAATACAGAATTATTTGGAATTTATATATTTCTATACAAGCATACAAATATTAGAAGATATGGTATCATGTCTTAGCTACTTTTCTATGTGTCTGTTAAAAAAAAACCCAGCTATATGGTTCATTATTTTAGTCCAAAGAAAGATGTGCAACAAACACTAACTTTTGCTGTTTGGCAAAATTTATATTTTGTTCTTTTTTTATTTTTATTCTCATAACAACCTGAGTAATAAGCAGTAAGCATATTCCCTAAAGAAGGACATAGCAGACCATTTGACAGAAAGTGACAAGTGTAAATGAGCCATCAACATTATGGATAATAGGCAGAGTGCAGCATAGCAATGCACAGTACAGTGCAGTAGGGAGCATTGCTGTGCTGTATTGCCTGGACTTCTATTTCACATATAATATCTCATCATCTAATAGGGATTTCAAACACACACCAAAAAAAAAAAAAATTATCATAGGATTTTTGTGGAGTTTTCTGATCATCCCCATTTAAAAAGTTGAAAATGGATGGGGTGCCATGGCATTTTAAATCTGCCATGCCTAAAGTAATAGGAACAAATTCCTGCTACATTGAGATGATCCTAATTTGCACTAATGGCCAGCAAAAAATGTGAGAGGCATGGTGTACATTTTAAAAGCAAAAATATAAATTACAATTTCTCTGCAACTGAAATCCATGGAGTCAAATGTGACATTAGAGGTCTCTTAAAAAGAAAGGACTTGAAACATCAGAGATTATTACAAAGTCTCATCATTTTTTATAAAAGTACTAATTTTTTCATGTTTAAAAATAAAGAGTTCCAGAAGACAAAGAATGATGAGATGTTAACTGTAACTACATTCCATATTTTTCACTATAGATATATTTAAATATCAGCAGGTTTTGGCACAAACAGAAAACACTTTTATTTAGTTGACTCAAAGACATTTTCTTTCTCTCCTTAAGGTCATCATATTGATTCTGGCAAAATACTGCAAATATTAAATCCTTCAGTCAATAAGCTTAATACTGACCTAAAAAAGTCAATATATGCTTACTAGTTACAAAATAACAACAGAACATAGCTGGGTATATTCTATTCTTTATAATACTCTGTGCTTAAAATAGGGACAGTGGTTTTATGCTTTTAGAGGAGTGGAAATGTTCTTTCCTGGAAAAAAATAACATTAACAATTTCTGAACCGTTGAAATTTTCAATGTCTTCTGTTGCTTAGCACAATTTTGGAAGTGTTTAAAATTAAATGAACAACAGTTTTACAATCAAGTTATGTGTTTTAGAAAACTTCTTTTAAAGAAGTGGTCATAGAAAAAAATTAGAAAAATTTAATGTGCCAGAATTAAGGTCAAAAAGCCCATTCAAGTCTGAAGCATAAAAACTTTGATCTTATTGAAGATATAAACCTGAGGCTGAGGCTAATATATGTGGCAATTATCACAAATTACAGTATGCATTTCTCAATACACAAAAGTTAGCAGTCTAATGTTGTCAGCAACAACAATATTAATTAATGTCCACCTTGGGCTGTGGGTTCTGAGAGATCTATGTTATGGAACCGCAGAATGATTGAGATAAGAAGATTCCTGTGAAGATCTTACAGTCCAACCATCCTGTTTAAGGCAAGGTTAGGTTCCTCAGGTTCATATAGGTTCCTCAGGATCATATCATCAGGTTTTGAATAGCTCTGAGAATGAAGCCTCAACAGTTGCTCTGGACAGTTTTTGAGCATGTTTGATCAACTTCACTGTGAAAAAAATGTTGTTTTGTTTTTTATTTTGTTTCAATGGTGGTTTGTGTTTTGATTTGGTCTGGTTGTTTAGTTTCAAAATTTTTAAATGGAAATTCTTGTATTTCAATAGAAATTGAAAAACAAAAACAAAAAACTGAAACACTAAACACCTGTGCCCATTCTTATTCCTCTGTCACTGGGGCACTCTGTGAACAGAGTCTGTCCTCCTTGCACCTTTCCATCAAATATTTATATATTTTTATAAGATTTCTCTGATTTCTCTACTGGCTAAAAAATCCAGACTCTCTTAGCACTTCCTCATATTTCAGATGCTTAAGTCCCTTAAGTGTTTCTGTGGATTGTGGTCTCTTGCTGTACTTGCTGTACCACACATCCATTTGTCTCTTGTCCTGAACAGCCTAGAAATGAACTCAGCACTCCAGATATATTTTACTGGTGCAGATTAGAGAGAAGGATCTCCTCTGTGCACCACCTTCCTGATGCTGATACAGGCTGGTGTTTTGGTTTGTTGGCTTTTTTTGTTTTTTAATTTGGTTGGGGTTTTTTTTGTTTTGTTTTGGGTTGTTTTGTTGGTTTGTTTTGGTTTTTTTTTTGCCACAAGTATACACTGTCAGCCAGCTTCAACTCGCCCATCCAAACTGACAGATGTTTTTCTGCAATTCGTTGGTCACTAGACTCCCCTGGAGCATGAACTTGTGAAATGAACTTGAGCATGAAATCCCAGGTGCATGATTTGACATTTCCCTTTGATGAACTTGATAATTTTCATGTTATGCTAGGAACAGACATAGTAAAATCCCAGGACAGTCAAGGCTTGTTTTACAAAATACTGAGTTCATTCTCTCACCAAAACATTTTGAATCTTCCTAGGATACTGTCCATTTTTTTATGTTATTCAAAATATGGTAATCATTATTTACTTTCCTAAAGAGAAAGTTGGCATAAACATTAAACAGAAACTACCATCATGTCTTACAGAACTGTTATTGGTGGGGTTTTTTATATATATAATTAATAATTACAGTAGGATCAATTTGAACTGTGAATGTTGATATTAGATGCCATTTTAAATCTGTTTGTAAAATCACTAATACAAATATCTATTATGTTACTCATGAACACTTATATTAAAAGTTATTTCTCTTTTTAAAGGAGTTGGGATTTGGGCTTTGTTTCGGTTGGTTTTTACAGAAATATAATTTACTGCAAGGTTAGAATTAATAAAGATATAAAGTGCCAAAGCTGAGTTTTGCTTTCTCATAGGAAAATGAGATGATCCTCACTACTTAAACATTTTAACAAATTATTTAGTTTTCCTTTTGCGACACTTTTTCTCTAAGCAAACAGTGCTTCCACTTTTTTCTTGCTTGCTCACAGACTTTGAGGGGTGAATCTAAATCTTCCTGAGTAAATATGGACAGTTTCAGGAGTATTTCTTTTCTGTTCTGCTTTCAGGAGCCTTTACAATATAAAAAAATAGAATTTCTAATAATATATTTCAAAGTTATGTTTAGTTCCTTCCCCTACCATAAGGTAATTTCAAAGTAAAGCTATTTGACAATCTAGATAATTCATGCAGTCCAACATAATTCTCACATTTAGCTTCTCCTTCCCAGTTTGCTAGAAGAATTTATGGGGCAAGGAGGGGTAGAATGATTGGGGAATCCTAATGAAACTTCCTCACGTATGAAAATCTAAGTAAAAAGGAGTTTTGCAGGAGAACTGTCTGTGCCTCTGTTTATTGCCACTGAATAATAAAATTTTACTCAAACAGCAGTGACAACCTGGCAGGATGCTATTTTAGAATATATATGTAGAAATAGAATGATTTCTTTTCCTTTTTCAGGTTGTTCCAGTACTATCATGCTGACTTTCTTTATTAAATTTGGCCTTTTTCCATTGCTGGCTCCTACTCCTTGACAGTATAGGATTTCCCAGAAAGCTTAGTCTGTTAACAGAAAACATCATTAGCTGCTTACTGAGCATAGAGAGCTCACATTTCAGTTTTTAAGTATGGCACGCTTGCTGCAAAAAGCTCTCAAGACTGCTATAGACAACCCTGTAATTATTTGCCATAGAAGTCATAGAGATGACTTCATTTTTCTCTCTCTTTTTACTTCTCTGTTCCTGTTTCATACAAAGAACTGTGACCCTTGGTATTCATCATTTCCTATTCTTTTCTGTGAATGTTTAGTATAAAATAAATAAATATGTTGGTATGTAAGTTGTTACAGTGTCTTTTCAAATAAATATAAAAGTGACAAGCAGAAAAGAGAAGTTTGGGAGGCGGGTAGTAAGATAAAATACATATTTGAAAAAATATGTTTCTTGTAAATTAGGATTAAAGCATAGTAACAATATTCTTGGTGAAGAAATAGGATAGAGATGAATATAAGCAGCAAATAACATTAATGTAGTAAGGAAGTGATATTTTTTATGAGCTCAAGTTTCAAGAGAGGTGATTCATTTACTCTAGGACTGAGTATTTTAAAGATAAAGTACAGATTATATTGAACTGAAATTCCTCAGGTACCCTCTAACATCACTTGTCTCTTCAATTCTATGTCCCATTCTGTGTGCAATTAAAAATGTGGGGTTTTTCATTTCTATAGATGTTGCTTATTTCAACAACCATAGCACGATCATAATGCTTTCTCATTTTTTGCAGTGCATGAAATGAATGTATCATTAAGTCATAATAAATTATGGTATGCATGCTAAGGATTTCATTTTACTTTATTCATGGACAAGGAAGAAAAGAGACAAGTACAAATGGACAAGAACCAATAGAAGCCTCTGTAAGATAAACTGGAAGAATGGATCACTGAAATACTGGTCTTAGTTTTCCAGGTGTTACAAAACATTTTTCAAAACAGTTATCATTTTGTTCTTAACTGTCATGCAAAATTGAGCTTGAATTTAAATGAATATGAGAAGAAAAAATATGTAGTCAAGTTTTTCCTACTTCAGTCAGTCAAGTGTCTTATGTCTTTGTGACATTAAATAAGGGACAGACATATATCACATCTTAGCTCCCATGAATTTTAAATGTGCTTTTTAAACATGAAGTGACTAAACTTCTACATTTTCAATCCTATCCTAAAACATGACTTTACCTTCTTCAGCTAGAAATGGATCTGCAGCACCTGTGTTTAACCATTCAGCAGTAACAGAACCAGAGGCAATGGGCACAGACTGAAGCAGGGGAGATTCCCTCTAAATGTAAGGAAACACTTTTTTTTTTTATTATGAAGGTGGCTGAGCACAGTTACATCTCGCCCATAAAGTGAAAATCCCTGCTTGGAGATGTTCAAAGGATGCCTGGCCATGGTGCTGGGTTATCTGCTCTGGGTGTCCCTGCTTGAGCAGCTCTATTGGACCAGATGACCTGCAGAGGTCCTTTCCAACATCAGTCATTTTGTGGTTTGGCCATCCTGTGATTTGTAACTTCAGGAGAGTCACAGGAGTAAGCTTGTTCTTCTTGGTCACCAGAATTGACACTGTGATCTTGATATTTTAATTCTAAAAAGAAGAAAAATATGTTTATCAGCTGTAAGAATATTTCAGCTGTAAGAATATTTCTGCATCAGAATGCACATGCAAATTACTGCAGGACATGCTAAGAGTATGAAATTACCAAGCAGGAGCTGTTCTGTGCTAATTGCCCATGCTATTTTATGATAAATTATGATAAAATCTGAGATAGTTTATTATTCTACTGAAGGAACTTACTTGAATTTGTCTTAGACTTAGCCTAGGCATACAGGTAGGCAGAGCAAAGGAGCTGAAAGGAACTGGGTTGTTAGACTAGGCAACTGGATTGCTTGTGTATAACCAGTTTGTGGGTCCTAAAATGACTTTCTGAAACATGAAGTAAGGAACACGAATAATAAATTTATTCAGACATAGCTGGCTAAGACTGTTTGCAGTGCATTTTGTAATGCATATAGACTTACATTTTTATTCCATAAATGCATATATACTCCAAGGGAACATTAAAATAAGAGGCAATCCCACTGAAGAGTTAGATCATTTGAAGATGAAAGCCAAAACCCACAGAGGCTCACAGGTGCCTGAGGGCATGGCTACACATGAGCAGAGAGTCAGCTGGCCAAATGTACAAGTAGCTTAGGTATTGAGGTTAAGTTTGCATATTTGCATAGCAATATGCTAAAATTCATCTGTCCTTATGAGCAGAGTCCACAGAAGTAAAACTTGGCAATACTGGAAAGCACTATGTCTACATTTTTCTGAAGACACTTGGAGCTGCTATGAAAGGTATGTCACAAGATGAGAAGGAAATAAAGGAAATTTACTGTTTCAGATATATTTGTGGTGTATTAGCTTGTAGAGCTAACTGAAAAATGAAAGGGAATTCCAGAACAGATTATTAAATTTAAAAAATTCCTCTCATGCATGCTGAAAAACAGTAGAGGATCTAAGTTACATTGATGGAAACATTTTAGCAAAATCTTGCAGAATTTCTAAAATATAGTATATCTTTGGCAAATATTTTCAAAATATCATTAAGACAAAGCTCTCAGAGATAAATACAGTGGTTGCACATTAACTAAAATATATTAGGGTTGGAATTTTCAAAAGGGGAAAAAATTAATCTAATATCCCAATTTAATTTGATATCCCAATTCCAAGGCAACTTCAGTAAGTATTTGATATTTACCTCCATGGAACTTTTCAAGCAATTCCAAGTTAATTGTTATGGTTTGATTGCAACTTCATATATTGATTTAAAAGACTCACAGAAATCTCAAGGGATTCAGGAGATGTTATATGCTCATATCAGGAGGCATCATATAGGCTCACATATGTATCTGCAAAATAAAATTTCAAATAATTCTCCCCAATTTCTAGGATGATAATAAAGACTAATTTTTAATTAACAATACAATGTATAGTATATTAAATCAGATTGTTTTTATTTAGAGAAATAAATATAACTTCTCTGATCTGTTAATACTTCTGTATTGTTCTATGTCAACATGCAAAAATTAGAGTACCCTTATGCTTTTACAAATCTTACTTGTGAAGATATTATGATGTAAATAGGAATCATTAAGTAACAAGTCTCAGGCTAGGTGCAGGTTACCACTTCTGTTAGTGACTGCTACTGATTCTCTTATTGACATCTCTTTAATTTAGTTTTCCTTACTATTATTATTGCTTTAGGTCATTTTTTTGTTGCAGTACTTCGATTTTCTGACAGGACTTCAAGGTAAGCACTATAATTTGCCTGAAATGTCACTAAGGAAGAAGAATTTCTGATAAATAAAGAGTTTTCACAGGATGTTCTTATACAATCACTGAAGAATCACCTATGTGTACTTGGAAGTATATATGATCAGATATTATACTTGTTTATGATGGATTTTTGGAGTAGGCAAACAGGTTTTAATTATTCCTCATAACACTGAAAATGCCACTAAAGGTGAAAGTCCTTCTTCCAGTTATCCCTTGTGGGGTCTTAGACATATGTTCTTATATTCTAGCTGTCTACACAGTGGAGAGCTTTATTTTATTGACCCACATTTGGTCATCATACTTCAAAGTCTTCAATCCTTTTATACAGTGAGAAAATCTTTTATGCACTATGACAAAACAAAAAAGAAAACCAAAAAAAAAAAACAACCAAGGAAAGTTTCAGAATAAAAATAATCACAGAGGCTTAACTTCATGGAGAATGCCATAGAAAATGGGTTTGTTCTGGTTTTCCATCAGGAACAATTAATCTACCAGACCTACACTTAATCTGCAAGGAGACAACAGGAATAATGTAACTGAGATGCACTAGAACAGTTTCAAAAATTATATTCACTCTAATAAAAGGGAACAAATTATTTTTCCTTTTACAAATGAGAAGTTAAAAGGTATGGGCATGTTAAAAGAACAGAGAAGATCTGAGACATGGAACAAAGATTATCTAAGAGCTTATCAATGGGTGAAACTGAATTTATTGTGTTGTTTAATTCAAAATGTGTGAAGAAGAATTACATATGCAATTTTTTTCCAGATTAACTGCATGAGTAAGGCATATTAGAAATTTGAAGACAAGTAAATAAAGCTAGTGCTGAATGAATTGAAGGTTTGTCTATGACATTGAATGGAAGCTATTTTATTTTCTTCCTGTGACAGTTTATATGTCTTCAGATTGGAGAAAAGGAAGGAGAATAATTGGCTACTTTACTTTTAGAAAGGCTGCTATGATATATTCTGTCTTTACTTCCAGTCATGGTTCACGGTTTTCAGGTTCATGAAATGCCTGCATATCACAACCCTGAAAGAATAAGCAGTAAAAAAAAGCTTCCATCCAAGGTACAGGTAACTCTAGGACATTCTCATCTACTTGAATGGTGAAACAACCAGCATAACTCACTCTTTCAGTGGTTATTTAAAATGGTTACCTATCTTTTGACTATGTAGAAAGATCCTGCACCCTTCAGTTCTAAAATAAATGCAAACAAACAAAAGAACAATGCCAACCACTAATCTGATTCTGATATCTGATCTTTCTCTAGACTCTCCATTGTCTGGAAACAGTATATATGAAATTCTCTATTAGAGAGTAACAAGGTTTACACAGAAAAATACTTAGTGTCCTTGAAACAACTGATTTCATTTCTGGAAATCAAATCATACAAGAGAGAATTTTAGGTTATCTATTGATAATAAGCAAAATGAAAAATGTATTCTAGCTTTCCTGACGCAGAACATTGCATCTCGTACCTTATTTTCTGGTATGGCCGTGAAGAAAACAAATGGAAATCCTTTTCAATTGGGCATACTGTAATCTAGCAAGCTGCTGAATCTGATAAACATCTGTCTCATTTCTGTTATTTTTCACAAGAATCTAAAGAATTAATTTGTTTCCAGACATTTAGTTACCTGCCTGAATTTGGAATCCAAGTTTAAAAAAGTGATGATCAGATTTGACTGATTAGTTTTTTGCTTTTTATTTTGGGAGGGGAGTGTGTGTGTGTATGGGATTTTTCAATGCAATTTCACACAAGTACTAAAGATTTTTAAAGATCACTGTTATGTGTCAGAGTTAAAACCAAGTAGCCTGTAGTAGAACATTCACAAATAGATGAAATTAATGTCTAGGTTCAGTTATTTTTAGAGTTTATGTTTGGCCTTAATCACAGCATATTGTCTATCATAGAACAATTTTTTTTCTGTTTGTATGTCTGGTGCTCTCTTTTTTAAAATATTCACTGGGTAAGAAACATGGTTTGAGATTTAAAGGGCTAAAAATGTTTTATGGGCTGTACAGTCACATTCTCAGTAAATGTCACTTCTTCTACAATGGGAACTCCTGTTAGAGAGTAAGCTAGAGATTTTCTGATATTCTCCCCTCACATTGATGAAATCATAATATTTAGTTCACATTATCAGGGAATTCTTCTAATCAGTAAGTAATATCTATGTATTTAAACAATGAATGAAAACAACACTGGCCAAGACAGTAAGTTAAATCCAGCATTGCTTGGCATGAATTTTCAATGCTGATGAAGTTGATGCAAAGGAACTACCTCCAACCACAAATTAAGGCTCCATTTCTTATTGGTTATGGATCCAAACTCCACTGAGATGGCCTACATTCTCAGAAACTGTGAGGACATGGATCTGAGATGAAAATTACCACAGATATAAGATAATAAGTCATTGGATTTGGTTGATCTATGGCTAGGTGATGGTAAATTAGTAATCTAATTTATTGTTAGATATTAAAAAACCCATTCACCTGTTTTAAAGGTGCCAAACATTTTTTTCTGTGTTTGAACTGTGGGTATCAAAAATTATTAAACAATTTAAGCATTGTAATCTCATTGCAGTAGGAATTAAGCACCTAGTTTTCTTGTTGAATCTGTTTTGACAATGTTTGAAAAATAAATTCAGTTCCATTGGAAAAAGCCTTTTAATGTAACCTGCAGATTATAAGAATATTACCAAGATGCAGTCAATAGAAAGTCTAAAATTTTCCACAAATTGGATGGATGGAATATGATGTATAAAGAAGTGCTGGATCAGATATAATTCAGTGAGCTGAATGTGACCTGTATTGCCTATCACATGATATTCCTAGTGTCTTGATATGCCTGCATTTTCATAATAATTGCATTAATTTTTTGTCATATTTTAAAATTTCTACTGAGTTCTGAGTTTAAAATTAAGAAAATGGAATTAAACTTGATCTATTCAAAACCCACTGAAAACTGTTAAATAATGAACACACCTCTACCTTTATAGTACACCTATAAATATGTGACAGAATCGAAAGTGGTTTTTACCTGCATCTCAAAACAGAACAAAAGGTTCTCATCATAATAGAAGAGTGCTTAGAAGAGAAAAATACAATGTCGTCATACTCATCCAGCTGGTTAAAGGCTAGGAAAAGATTAATAGTTATAGTACAAATTAAAATGTGAATATAATAATGTAATTTTATTCTACTTTCATCGTAATTGAAAAGGTGTAATGGGAGAGATGGATGTGGTTCGAAGTGTGTATGTAATGAAGTACCTCAAACTGTGAACACATGGGTAATTAAAAGGAAACTAATCTCATCCAAAATAGTATTGGGCATTGGCTAATCAAATGATAATGTTAATCTTGCTATCCAAGAAAGTAATTTTCTATTCCAGAGATTTTGTAGTTTTATAATGCATTGTGTTATGTTTGTTGCCATAGCCTTTAATTGGAAAATGCATAATTCAAAGGATTTAATTTAATGTTATTGAAATTATATTTAGATTTTGTACTTAGATTTCCTAGAAAATGTCATGCTTTTTTGCATTTGTTATTGTGCTATTTGCTCATTGTATTTATAATTTACCAGTGTACACACTGTAAAACTTCTGTTAAATTTATTTACCAGCATATGTGAACATTTTTCATGGTTAATCCTTGTAAAACCAGTTTCTTATTGTAATACTTTTAGCATATAGCAGTAAAGAAGGAAGAATACAATTCCACAAAGTATTTCTTTTTCTTAGACTTCTGTTTTCTTTTTCAATTGAGCAATCCCTGGGGCCAGGTATCATTCATCAGAAAAGTAATGAAAATTGGACTGAATCTAGGAAGATAACCTATCTCTTCATTTGCAAATGAAATTGTCAATAAGCCTAGTCTGCATCTCTCACAATGATGTCAGTTCTTAAAGTCAGACCACAAAGCCTGGCGTAAAGATTCCTTGAGCATTGCTTTGCAAATAAATGTACTAAAAATATAGGAGGGAGTCCTATTGAGGAGAGAGGCAAGAGCTACTGATCTAGTCTCCATAATCTTCATAACTTACTTTCAGAAATGCATTATAACTGCTGTATTTGTTTTAAACAAGCTGAGGGGATGGATTTTATCCTTTGCCCTCTGTGTACAAGCCACCATATGTATACTAACATATACATTCTGTCCAATACATATTATGGAATAGAAAAAAAAAACAAAACAAAACAAAAAATCCCCTAAAAACCAGCTTCATTTCTCAGCTATACTTCTCATCATACTGTAATTTTCAGACAACAAATTATGGAGCTAAGTGAAACAATTTGATGGGAAATTTTTTATGTAGTTCTTTCCAACTGTTCCCAGATTCATCAATGCTTAATCCACCTGTCAGTAGGAGTGCATGACTTGCCAACTGTTGTAGTATTTCACATTAAAATTCTCTTTAATTTTCCAGGATGCTGGAAGATGTAGTTGTCTTAGTGGTGGTTCCATATAACTTCCAGTCGTAACAATTTTTATTGCGCATAAAGTGAATTGAAGGAAGGAAGCATAATTGGTAGTCACAGAGATGAAAGAAAAATCTTATCAAATGGGTAGTCTGCTGTAGTATCTAGGTAAGATTCACATTCAGAATGAAATAAAATACACTGCTGTAAACGGTTTAGATTTTTAATTTTGCTTTAATCAAAGCCATTTTCACACAGTAATTTGATTTGTTTGACATTAATCAGAAACTGCAAATACAAATAATGAACACGGGTCTTGCTAATAGGTAGGCAGATGGATTTTCTCTATAAATATTTCAAGAGAGAAATCAATCCATAATATTATTGATTGAACATGAAATTAAAAGTGTCTATTTTTCGCTTGCTGAATGCACAAGAAATGTTGTTCTGCTAATAGGAACTGCATATCCAGCAAGAAACAAATTATGTTCATGTGATCTCTTGCTGTGATGACTTCAGATCTCACAGACTAAGTAGTGCATCAGGCCAAATCTGCATCTTCCATATAGGAAAACGAAAGATGAGGAGTCAAACAGCTTCAGGTACATATGTTAGTAGTTCAGCAATTGAATTTTTTCCCCCTGGTAAGCTGTGAACATGAATCCCCTCATGGTTCAATGGGTCATTCTGCAGCTGGAAATAGTGTGTTCAAAGTCTTGCTATAATACTCCTTAAAAAGCCCATGAAAGTTTTAAAGGGAAGTAGTTGTTTTTATCTGTGGTGTTAGACAAATTTTTCATCCAGAAAATTCTTGTTCATGCATTAACTTTTTTTCTGAAAACCACCCCATACAGGTGTTTGAAGTTATGTCAGGAAGAAAAAAAATAATTATCTGTATCACAGAATAATTCACTTCTCATCTAGCCAAGCATCCTTTTATCACAAAGTCAACACTGAAGTGATGGGATTAGCCCATCTGGGTTTTGATAACCATCAAGCATGGAGTCTGTGAAGTCTACCATCTACCTGGATGACCTGCTCCAATGCTTAATTATACTTGGAATGAATAAACTTCTCTTTGTAACTCCTTAAGAACCAGACAATTGATAACCATTTGTTGTGGTTTAATCCCAGTAAACAAGTACCATGCAGCTGCTCACTCACTCTCCCACCAATGGGATTGAGAAGAGAATCAGAAGGGTAAAACAGGAAAACTCATTGGTAAAGACAGTTTAATAAGGAGAGCAAAAGCAGTTCATGCAAACAAAACAAAACAAAACAAGAAATTAATTTACCATTTCCATGGGC